GTGTGTGTGTGTGTGTGTGTGTGTGTGTGTGTGTGTGTGTGTGTGTGTGTGTGTGAGAGAGAGAGAGAGAGAGAGAAAGACAGAGAGAATTAGGGAGGAGCTGTAAAGGGAAAGGGTGCAAAAGGGAACACATTTCTTCCCTTGCAGCCCTGGTTCTTGCCATCTAATCTGTCAAGCATGACTCCTGATTAGGATCAGGCCATCTAATGTACAGCACTTTGACACGCATCACCTACTTAAATAGCAGTTACACCTCCACTGTTGAGGGCTGAACATACCTTTACTACTAGATTCACATGGAAATATATGAGACCTGTTTCTAAATGAGATGACAAAATTAGCCTGGATTTCAGTGGAAGTAGAGGAAAATTCTGGTCTCCTCAGGCAAAAGTCATTGAGCATTATAGCTGAAATGGAGGGGGCAACCGTTGCCTCTCAGTGACATTCTTCCTGAACCTGAGAGCATCAGGGCTTACTCCAATTTGAGTGGAGCTGGGCCACGCTTGGGCTTCTGGAGGCCTGATTACCTCAAAGGTAGAAAGACCTTGCCATTGGGCAGGGGCACTCCAGATTCCATCTCTTCAGAAACTGTGAGAGTCTGCAAGTTAGGGCTGTATAACTGCTAATGTGATCCAAATCAGAGATGTCAAACATGTGGCCCCCAGAAATGGTGCCCACCACACTCTTCTGAGTGTAGCCCAAACCAGATTAAAATGTAATTGGGAAGTACTTAAGAAAATAAATAAAAATACAATAAAACATAAATAATATTACCTTTTAAAACTAAGCCAGTATGTGACCAGTAGGAATCTTTATATATGGATTAGTGGCCCCCGTTTTCATTTCAATTTGACATCACTACTCCAGGTGACCAATGATATTAGGTGGCACAGTGGACACCAGCTAGGCCTGGAATCAGGAAGACCTGAGTTCAGAACCAGCCACTGACACTTAATTAGCTATGTGACCCTGGGCAAGTTGCTTAACCATTGTCTGCTTCAGTTTCCTAAACTATTAAATGGGGGTAAAAATAGCCCCTACCTTACAGGGTATTTGTGAGGATCAAATGTATAAGGAACTTAGCATAGTACCTGGCACACAGTAGGTACTTAATAAACACTTACTTCCTTACTTCCTTCCTCCTTTGCTCCCTCCCTTGCTTCCTCCTTTTCTTACTTCCTCTTCCCTTTCTTCTTTCTTTTTCTTCTTCCTTCCTTTCTTACTTCCTCCCTCCCTTCCTGCTTCCTTCCTTCACTTATTTCTTCCTTTCTCCTTTTACTTCTTCCTTCTTTCCCTCCTTTCTTCCTTCCTCCCTCCCTTCCTTCTTTCCCTCTTTTTTCTTCCTTTTTCCTTCCTTCTTTCCTTCTTTCCTTCTCTAGAGAAATCAAGAAAGACAAACTGTTCAGATAGACACATTTGTGCTGTAGCTGGATATAAAATATCTTAGCCTTCTGACATTAGGATAATAAAAACAAGGTAAAGCCCACATTCCTGAACCTGCTGCCTACAAACACTGGCATAAATAGTCATTATCTGCGCTTCACTTATTCATTGCTTTATTTAGCTAGATAGGTCCTGTGGCAATGTCCGTCATTAAATGCAAGCTTTTTATGTTTTGATTGTAATGCTGCATCTCAGATCTTTTACCAGGTATAAAACTCAAAATATCTCTTTGCCTTGGTTTCCATTAACTTGTAAATAGAAGTTGTTCTGATAGTTTTTGTTGTTCAGTCTTCTTTTTTTTTTTCAGTTGTATTCTACTCTTCTTGACTCCATTTGAGTTTTCTTAGCAAAGAAAATGGTTTGATGTTTCCTTTTCCAGTTCATTTTACAGATGAGGAAACTGAGGCAAATAAGGTTAAGTGACTTGCCCAGGTCACACAGCTAGTTAAGTGTCTGAGGCCAGATTTAAACTCAGGTCTTCCTGACTCCAGGCTGGACATTCTGTCCACTACATCACCTAGCTGCCCTTCTGATAGTTTTTAATCATGTGCTATGGATGAAATACTATTTTTTGGTAGCAGACAGAAGAGAGTAATCATATTTTATTCATTTAGTTTTTAGCAAATTCCAAACAAGTACTGGCTCTGTCCATCAAAGACCTCATAATATCCATGGTATTATTCAAAAACTTCACTGTTTTTCCCTTAATTCATTACCTTCTCTGGATTGCTCTCTTGCCTAAGAACTATGATGCCGAATAAAGGTTGATCTGAAGGCTACCCCACATTTATAATGTTCAAAAGCTCTCTCTCTTCTATGACTTTGCTCATACTGAATAAAGCACAAGCCTCACTTTAAAGCACTGCCATGTTGATTTCATAGATATGCTTTTGTCTCTAGCAGACTTTTGTCTTCTGAGTTAGACTTTTTGGTTTTGTAGGGTTATTATCAAAGCAATGAATTCATCATCACTCAGCATCCACTGCTTCACACCATTAAGGACTTCTGGAGGATGATATGGGATCATAATGCCCAGCTCATAGTCATGCTGCCAGAGAGCCAGAACATGGTAAGGCCTTCCCATCATCCCAGGTCACAAGGAAGCAGCCGTCTCAAACAGCTTGTAACAAAAATAACAGGCATTAATTCAGTTGGTTTCTTGGACCAAAATTCCCTTTTTTGATCACCACTTAACTGCTCCCTCATAACCATGTATGTCAGCCCTATCCCTCCTTTGTCCTTATCCCAGCATTTTGGTTGATTGAGTGTTCTCCTTTGTTTTCAAAGAGGACCAATGAATATCCCACACTGCCCTGCCCTTCCACTATGCCCTCTTTAATAACTATTCTGTTGTCAACAAATCCCCCTTCACATAAGACTTGCCCACTCTCCCAGAAATTATTTGGTATGTATTTTGTGTTGAGTTGTCTATGTATGTGTAAGTGTTCTCTCTCCCCCTTTAGAATGTAAAGTCCTTGAGGACAAGTCTTGCCTTATTTTTGTCTTGGCATCCCAAGTGCTCAGCCCAGTGTCTGGCACATGGTACCCAATTCAGTTGAGTTGAACAAACACCAACTATGTGCAGGGCATTATGCTAGGCTCTAGAGATTCAAAGACAAAAACCAAAGCAGTACCTACCCTCACAGAGTTTAATTTGTCTTCTATTAGAATGAAGTCTTAAAATGAAAATAAATTCATAAAGAACTTTTTAACATTATAATACAAAAAAAACCACCACGTGAAGCACCTCTCATCTATAGAGTGTTGGTTGTGTTTTTTTTTTCCAGTTAGGAACAGTGTCACTGGATATATGACCCTCCCTATTATTATTTGGATTTTGTGATGCCTTCTCTCTAGCCCTAAAAGTATTATAAGATACATTTTGTTGTGTTTGGATTTTTCTCCTTACCTTCTTTTAAAAAAATAATATGAATTTTAAAATAGTTTAATTTTCAGTCTGGAAGGCACTCCTTAAGATAATGAGACAGAATCATTTAGAGTATCACTCTGATAGCCATTGTGACGTGCATTCTTACAGACCTCATTTGAAGTAATTTAGAAATATGCTTCCTCAGTTTAGGGCATGGAACACACACATACACATACATACATACACATAAACATACATACACCTACACATATACACATACATACATACATACACAAACATATACATGCATACACATGTACATACTCACATACACATATGCATATACACATAAACCTATACACACATATACACATAACATACTCTTAAACACATGCATACACATATACATGCACACACACATACACGCATCAAGATTCAGGTCAGATGTTTTCTGCATATTAGAAAAGTAGAAGCCCTCCCTACCATCTCCTAAGAGTTGTTTTTGGGAGGCCCTGTCTATCTCTTTGCGATAGTGAAAAACTGATCAGTATGTAATTCGGGGTTTTTATGTGTCTTTAGAAGGCCTTGGGATTCGTCGCTCCTGGGGCTCCATATTCATTTAGCTTTTACACATTCCTCCAACAGTGCTAGGCCACCAGCATCCCTTTGCCATATTCTGCCATTGCTGATAGCGAATGTGCCAGTGTGTTGGAGATAACTGGAAAGCAAAATGGCAAAGCTGTGAGGCATGTTCCTAAATAACTAATGTCAAGTACTGCATCTTCTTAAGAGTCTTGTTGTATTCTGCACATGTCAGGATGGCCTTAGAGACAAGAAAGTTTATGAGAACTAAAATGGGATACAGAAGCAAAGGTTGAATTGAATTTTTTCTTCCAAGCAATTAGCTTCATTTCACACTTTGACCTTTAGGACATGAAAAATTCATGCAAATGATGCGCTATTAATACTACTCGGCTTTCTGTGGAGTAGTGCGTCCAGCGCTGCAAATAAAGCAGCAAAATCTTATTACTTTTCCATTCCTTACAGGCTGAAGATGAATTTGTTTACTGGCCAAATAAGGATGAGCCTATAAATTGCGAGAGCTTTAAGGTTACCATGATTGCTGAAGAACACAAGTGTCTGTCTAATGAAGAAAAACTTATAATTCAAGACTTTATTTTAGAAGCTACACAGGTATTGAAGATGTAACTTTAAATGATAAATTTATGGGAACAGATCTTATCATTTAATTCATCTGATATGTATATATATATATATGCACACACATATATGTATGCAGATATAGGCACTTATGTTTATATTATATGTGCACGTAACATATAAGTACATATATATACATATATATTAGTGCCTATATTAACTGCATGTATCTACATACATATAGATATAAATATATACATGTATGGGTGGGGGTGTATATATTAGAAGCAGCTAGGTGAGAGCACTGGGCATGGAGTCAGGAAGACTTGGGTTCAAATCTGGCCTCAGATACTTCTTTGCTGTGTGATCCTGGGCAAGTCACTTAAGCTCTGTTTGCCTTAATCCACTGGAGAAGGAAATGGCAAACCACTCCAGTGTCTTTGCCAAGAGAACCCCATGTTCAGTATTGGTCCCCGGGGTCACAAAGAGTGGGACACAACTGAATGACTGAACAGCAACAACAGTGTATTTATTAAGTGCCTACTCTGTACACAGCATGATGCTAGGTGCTGGAGGTAGATTAAAAAAAAAGACAATGTCCCTGTCTACGTGGAGCTTAGAGGCTAGTAGAAAGACACAGTATATATAGCATCTAGTAGAAAGACACAGTATATAACTATAAGGCAAAATAAATGATGATAATTTTACTGTCTAACTGTGTGCCCAGAATAGTGTACTAGTAAGATACTACAAAATTTAAGATGTTGTCCCTACCTTAATAAAGGTTATAGTCTACTATGAAAATGTGACATAATCATTATTATTATTATTATTTATATTGATATAGCACTTTAAGGTTTGCAAAGTGCTTTATATATGTTATCTAATTTGATAGTCACAACAGCCCTGTGAAGTAAATGCTATTATTATCCCCATTTTAGAAATGAGAAAACTGAGGCTGAGAAATGTTAAGTGATTTGTGCTACTACTGTATGACTGGTATCTGAGGCAAGATTTGAACTCAGGTGTTCCTGGTTTGCCAGGTCCGGGACTCTATCTGCTATGCCAACTAACTGCCTCAAATAACTGTAACTACAAACTAAAACAAGATGAAAGAAGAATGATGTAAAGTCTATGGGTTACAGCAGGGGAGGCCATTTAGAAAATGTGTATGCTTCCTGGAAGGGTACCATTTGAGCCCAATTTTGAAGAATAAACAAGACTTCAAGCAACAAAAGTGATGAAAAGGGGATTTCAGGCATAAAGAATAGTGGAGAGAAAGATAAGGATGTGAAAGCACATAGTAGGTGCTGTGAAGTCCACGGTACAATTTTAATACATGCTGATTGGAAAGTCTGTCCTAAAAACCACGAGAAAACCTGATCTCTTTTCCATATCAACTACTTGGCCAGTTGACCAACATGACCACATTCCACTAAAGGTACCCTTTAACTTTAGAGTTTAGGGGCGGGATGGGGAACCTGCAGCTCGAGGCCACATTGGGCCTTCTAGATCCTTGGGTGCAGCCTTTTGGCTGAGTCCAAGTTCTCTAGAACAAATCCTTTTATCAAAGAGATTTGTTCTGTGAAGTTTGGATTCAGTTAAAGGGCCACACTTGAGGATCTAGAGGGCCATATGTGACCTAGAGGCCTCAGGTTCCCTCCCCCTTCGTCTTTGTTGTTACTGTGTTATTGTGGAAGTGGTTGTGGGTTCTCAGCGACTATGCCAGCATAATTTGTACTCCCAGTATGGAAAGTCTTGAGATTCCCACCTCAGTGTTCCACTCCACCCCTTTTGTTCCCTTCATATTCCATATATATTATTTTAACTCTAAACCTTTGAATCACTGTAACTCAAAAAGGTGATGCTATTTTTCCAAATAAATACTAATAATTTGGATTTCTCTTTGTAACCTAAAACCAGGATTAATGTACAGGCCTTTACTAAGGATTGCCAAACTTCAGCCTAGGGTTAGCTTGAATTGGCCATCCATGGGCTTCACTTGAGGATTAATTATTTTTATCCATTCCTTCAATATATGCGTGGAGTCTCTGGATGTAAAGACATTTTTCTATTAATATGAGAGGTGAAGTATTCCTGCTGCTCTCTTGTCATTTGATCTAATTATCCTATCACAATTACTGGCTTTTTACAGTATCTCATGATAAAATAACAAGCAAAATGTCCCACCAAAGGTGGTAATTGTTCCTTCTTCTCAATAGGATGATTACGTACTTGAAGTGAGACACTTTCAGTGCCCCAAATGGCCAAACCCTGATAGTTCCATTAGTAAAACTTTTGAACTTATAAGTGTCATCAAAGAAGAAGCTTCTAATAGGGATGGACCCATGATTGTTCATGATGAGTAAGTTCTGAACTTTAAATATATTTTATATCTATTCATCTCCTTAGAAATGGAAATATAGTTATATACTCTATTGTGCTTGTACATATGTGTCTGCATGTTAATGTGTGTGTATATTTTTGTGTATATACACTCCATATATGGTTCACATAACTGGGGACTTTACAGAGGGAAGGCAAGGGGTAACCTTTGCAAGGCCCATCTCCCCTCTTCTCCTGCTGGGGTGTTCCTCCTGGAGCCTCCATTTGATGAAGGAGTTGAGGCCTACCTACCTTTAGATTTGACTTTTGGAGCTCTTGATGAAGCCAAGAATAGTATGTTTGGTAAGCATCTGATTTTGCAACTTCATGCTTTACCTACTGAAATGATTTTTTATACTCGTTCCCTTGGTCTAAAAATAAAAAGCCGTAGCAAAGAGGCTGTCTAATCTTCATTTAAGATTGATTATGCTGAAGCATGTATTCAGTGTATATATGTATTTTTTCCTTTGTCCTTTTATACCATGATGGATTTTAGTATGTTTGTGGTAAGAACAAACAGAACCATGCACACTGAGTATGTCCTTAGATGCCTGATTTTCCACTGTCCAGATCAGATTGTATTTATTTACTTCTCCCACAGTATCAAGATGAAAAAACCCACAGGTTTCTATAGAACGTCCCCATTGCCCACTTAACCTGTGAGGGTTTTCATCCCAGACCGTAGTTCTCTGCATAATAAGGTGGCAAAAGCAAATACATTAAGAAAGGTGATCGATGTTTCTATAGCAAGGTTATATCCCTAGTGAGTTATGAAACATAATATCTTGATGCTTTTAAATAAAGCTTTTGACCATTTTCCTTTCCACAAAGGCATGGAGGAGTGACCGCGGGAACTTTCTGTGCACTAACAACCCTCATGCACCAGCTAGAAAAGGAGAATTCTGTGGATGTTTACCATGTAGCCAAGATGATAAATTTGATGAGGCCTGGTGTCTTTACAGACATTGTAAGTATATGTACATATTTTTAAAAAAAACCTGATCACCCAGCTTTTTAAGGTTTTATGGTTTAGAAACTTACAACTCCCAAAGACTTCAAGTGACAGGAATGAATTTGTTTTCCTAGGGATAAAATGAGAAGATTTCTACATTATGAGAGAGGTATTGTTTCTTGGGTAGTTGTTTTTATTGTTATTTTTTGAGAGGAGATAGAAAATGAAGGAAGAGAGAAATGTTTCCTACCAAAGAGAACTCTTAGGTATTCTACATGCATAAGCATATATGTAGAATCACAGAATTTTCACATTTCACAATGGCCATTTAATTTAACTGATAGTGGAAAAAGAATCCTCATTGCAGTATTTCCAGTAAGCAGGCATCTAGTCTCTCCTTGAAGCCACTCCCCCACCCCCAAAGAGGCAATGTATTCCATCTGGGTACAACACTGATAGTTAGGATGTTTGTTTGTTTGCTTGTTTGTTTCTCTGGCAACCAGCTTGAATTTGCCTCTTTGCGACATTCCCCCAGTGGTCCTGGTTTGGTCTTCTGGGGTCAAACAGAACAAATCTAACAGCTCTTAGACTTAATAGCTCTTTAAATACTTGAATACAGATATCATCTCCTCCCTGTGGTTTCTCTTTTCTGAACACTTTGCAGCATTAGCGGTGTCTTTCTTAAGCTATCGCGGGGGCAGGGAATTAAACACAGTGCTACAGTTGTAGCCTGACCAGGGCAGAATACAGTTGTACTGTTACTTCTGTATTCCTGAAAGTTATGCCTCTCTTAATGCCCAAGATCTCTCTCTCTCTCTCTCTCTCTCTCTCTCTCTCTCTCTGTCTCTGTGTGTCTCTCTCTCTCCCCCCCGTCTCTGTGTGTCTGTCTCTCTCTCTCTGTCTCTGTCTCTCTGTCTCTCTCCCCCCCCCCACTCTTTTTATAGGGAAGGAATACTAGAGAGTCACCCTCTTGGTTTTCAGAAAAAACTTAGCCTAGGACAGGTGAAACAACTCTCTCAGAGTCACTCAGTGAGTTCGTTAGTGCAGTGCTTTAACATAGAAACAAGTGATTGAAGAGCATTAGGTAGCATCAGTGACAAAGATTCAACAAAGGCCAAGAAAGTGAGAATTCCCTTGCCTCAATTTCTTCTTCCAAGCTTGTGTAATAATAGTAGCCAACATTTATATAGCACTTTAAGGTTTGAAAAGTGATATATTGTATGATTTATTTATATGCCTGAATATGTGAGTACATGCTGGCATTAATATCTTGTTTGAGCCACACAACTCAATGAAGAATGTGACATTATTATCCCCATTTTATAGATGAGAAAACTGAGGCTGCAGGGATAAGTGATTTACCCAGGGTCACACTAGTAAGTCTCTAAGTCAGGATTTGAAGTCAGGTCTTACTGACTCTAAATGTAAGAACTCGATAATTTCTACATAGAGCTTTTTTTCCTCTTTCCTTCCATAAAGCACCTCAGTTTCCTCATCTGTAAAACAAAGATGTTAGAGTAAATGAGTTCTAAGGTCTCTTCTCTTCCAGATATCGCTAAATCTTTGAAGTTGCAAATGAATGATTTATCTATAGATCTGTATCAAAAAGAAATTTGAATTCTATTAAATGAAGCTTTCCCGTTTATTAATTGTAAAAATAGACATTGACCTACATTAATAAGTTCTGTGAAGAATAGCTTGGGTCTGAGAAGCACGACATTCTGCCTCTTCTGTTTAATCTCTTAGAATTTCCTTTAGACTGATATTTAGGCAGTATCTGTTTGACCTCAGCTTGCCTGAGGACATTTCACAAAGTCAAGAAAATGTGTAGAATGCGTATACCCAAAGGCAATGCCATTTCCATGAATGTACCCAAGCTGGTCTCAAGACAGTGATGTCATTACAAAATCCACAACAAGATAATAAAAAATGAGTCTTCCCAGTGAGAGCTACATGAGAAAATGAAATCAGATGTTTATTATCAAAATTATAATCTCCAAATATATAGCGTCCTTAACCTGAATTCTAAAGTAGCCAGGTCAAATCAGAGCCAAGCTCTGAAAGAAATGGTGGGCCAACCAAATTCCAAAGAGTGTGTCCAGCTATTTGGAAAAACCAGGCATGCAGTATCCAAAGAAAGGCTTAGCTGGAGGGCCTGTGGATAAAATTGGTAGGCATAAAAGTTGAAAAATTCACTCAACCAGTTTAGTCTGCAATTCCAAACAATTTAATTTGTTTATTTAATTGACTTTTTGACTTAACTGATTTTTTTAAGTTCAGTTGTGGTTTGGAGACATAGTTTCATATTCTCCTACCAACCGCAACCTGGTTTAGTAGGCTAACAGTGAAAAAGTGATTATCACTTATGAATGAGGCTAATGATTTTGCAATTTATAACCTTTAAATCCTGAAACATGAGACTTTAATACAGAACTTAGTCATCAATTGAAAATATGAGAATTCTTTCATGATTTTATGAAAACTTCAAACAAGATTGAGTTGTACTCAAGATGTCCCCCACTACACGTATATTATGACTGAAAATGTTCCCTAGGTCATTTATTTCAATTAAAGAATTACTAATGAAGTCTGTTGCAAGGGGTTTTTTTTCCCCTTGGGGTGGGGGAGGAAGAAAGATGAGAAAATAAATTCTCATTAATTGAAAAAAATTAAATTAATTTTTACAAAGAATTACTAATGCAGATACTTATTGGCCCTTAAAGATCAATTGCGTTGCCTTCACATTATATCCTTTATCTGTTCTCTAGGAGCAGTACCAGTTTTTGTACAAAGCTATCCTCAGCCTGGTTAGCACAAGGCAGGAAGAAAATCCTTCCACATCACTGGACAGCAATGGCACAGCTTTACCTGATGGAAACGTGGCAGAGAGCTTAGAGTCTTTAGTTTAACCCATCGAAACAATCCCTACAGTTGAGCATTTTTGTTTTCATCTTTAAATTATGTGGGAAAATCTATCCCCTCGCAATGTCATCTGTTTACTTCCCATCAAGTAAAAGTACTTTTGATGGTATATGATCTTACTGCCAAACTGACATCATTAATAATGTGTGCCTTTTTTGCAAGATTTCTTGTAATCCATTTGTTATGTCTGAACTAAATCGACTGAATTTTACAGTGTTTCTATTAACAGAATTGTGGTGGTGTTTTGTTTTGTTTTTTTTTCAGTATTAGTTTCCTACCATCAGGTTTGATTTTAACTGAAAATCTAAATTTATAGATACTAGGAGTTCTCAAGGACATACAAACACTTTTGTTTGTAGGGTCAGATCTATGGCTGTATTTGTAGCAATCCTCCTTGTTTGCCAGAAATATAACTTTTAATATAGTTTATTGTAAATAAAACACTGTTCTCTGTAATATTCAGCATTTTACATCTGCAGCATTTGCTTAAAGTAGAAATAATCCGATACTTAACTGTAAATACTGCTCTAGTAACTATTCCATGGACCAAATTTATATTTATAATTGTAGATTTTTATATTTTACTACTGTCAGTTTTCTAGTTCTGTGTACTTGCATTGTTAAAATGATATAGTTCACTTTCTGTTTTTACATCAAGTCTGATATCTTATTGTGCAGCTAAGTGATTAATCATATTCCAGCATGTAATTTTAACTTTTTTTGTGGAAAATAGAAATACAGTTGTTTTGAAATGAGACTTTTTATGAGAATAACATCTTACTTGGCGTCATTTAAATTGTTTTTACCTACAGTGTTGCAAAAATAAATACAAATATTGTAGTCAGTTCACATTTAATTACTGTCACACTGGTCAATAGGCAGCAGTGGATTGTGGGTATGTAAGGAGGAAACCGAGAACCTGAAACAAGGTTTGAGGATTCAGGAAGATATCAAGGTTCAGAACCAGGCTGGGGCCAGAACTGAACAGGCAGGTTGAAATCAGAGTATACAGACAAGGGCAGACAAGAACCAGGAAGACCCAAATAAATACTCCAGAATAAAGCAGGATTTGAGATGCCAAGTTTAAGCAAACAACGAGAACCTAGATCTATAGGAGCTTCACAAGCAAGACTTGTGAAGAGCATAGATGGAAGGCACCAGTAGTAATAGAAGGACCTTGACGGTTGATGTGGTGTCCATTTCCCAAGTGTGACTAGCACCCGTCAGGAGTGGAATGGCAACTGCTAAGAGGTAAATTCTAGATCCTGTTACTCAGCTATCACACACAGTGAACTAATGTTTTAGAAGGGTGGAGCAGTAGATGGAGCACTGGACTTGGAATCAGGAAGATTCATCTTCCTGAGTTGAATTCAGGTGTTTATTAGTTGTGTGACTCTGGGCAAATCACTTACCCTTTTTTGCCTCAGTTTCTTCCTCTGTAAGATGAGCTGCAGAAGGAAATGGCAAACTGCTCCAGTTGTCTCTGCCAAGAAAACCCCAAAATGGAGTCACGAGGAGTCAAACACAACTGAACAACATTTTGCAAACGATGTACATTTCTTTTACTGAAAGCTTGAATTAGTGGGTCACACTAAACATTCATTTCTTTTCTGTCTAGCCTTCTGACCCGGATAAACTTCACTCCCTCTGGGAAGTAAACTGTGTTCGTTATGAATTCTAAATGTGTATAATTACACGTCTTAAAGCCAAACATTTAGAGAATGTAATCCATTCCCTTTAGCAAGAACCCTTCAGGGGACATCTAATTATCCGAAGAGCCGTAGTTTAATTTTCCTTAAATGCTTAAAACAATTAATTTTACTCTACTTGAATTTTTCAAAAGTATAGCCATAAAGGACTTAGAAAGAAGTTGAGGAGGTATTTTTTTTTTTTTTTTTTAATCAGCAGGTCAGGCTCCAGAGAGGTCCAGAACAGAAGCACTATCTATCATTTTATTTCTCAGTGTCCTAATGTTAAAGCTAAAGAGGTCAGTTTTGAATTCCTGGTTGCTTTTTTCTAACCTCATTTCCTAATCCTCTTGTAGTCCTTCCCTCACCACCCACAATGTCTGATCACAAGCTGATTTGAACCAGTACTACATGTTATCTTAATTATCTTGTCTACTAATTTCCCTATCCTTTGTCCCAGAAACACCAGCTAGTAGGATAGATAGATTTTTTTTTATCCTTTACAGTGACTTATTAGTGTTTCACTGCACCTTTTCCAAGGGAAAATAATCATGCAGTTAACAAGTATGATAATTAAGTATTTCCATAGACAAACTATAGTAATTAAATCCTGAAATGGAGAAGGCAAAAAGGACTCCTACTCCAGAAATAGTCTCTCTTAATCCTCCCTCCCTAAGCATAAAACAATTACACAGATGGTCTTGAAAAAAATAAAATCAAGAAGTCTGGTGTTTTTCCAAGATTCTTTCCATCAATTCCCGTAATCTCATTCATCATCTTATCATGATGACAAATTATTTAAAACCTAAGTCCTGAGGATAATCTTTTTTACTTACCCATATTGGTTTTTAACTGGGGAAAAATAACCAAAAAGCAAGATATCACTGCTCATCTTCCACAACCTATGATGGATTTAGTAAATTTAATGAAAGTGTGTCAATTCCAACAAATACTAAGCCCAAAGTCATATTGTAATTATATTTTTACTGTAATACCAACAAGTACCTAAAGTCTTGTAAACTAGGTCAGTTTCAGAAAAGATGTTCTTTAAAGACTGTTTTCAAGTCTTAAATAATCTCAAAATGCCCTATAACTCCAACCAAAGATATTCAAAGGGTATAATCAACCTAGACTTTAAATAAATTGTTGGTATATCTGTATACCAAAGAACTATTGTGAAGGGCCATTACCCTTGAGTAAAGCTGACCCACTTTCTGTAGTGGTTACATAATACACAGGTATCATATGTGTATGATATAAGTATATAATATTAATGTAATTGTATAACAGTTATCCACCACGTTAATATAATCATATTATTATACTACGTAATTATATAACATACATGACAGTAAGATGTATATCAGAATTTTCACTTTGGGGATTCACTGTCCCTTCACCCAAATAGTGTGCTTAAAGACTCAGAACCATTTCTCTGAGAAATAGTTCTTATAAAATAAAAGTGAGAGATGTCTTTTAATAAGCTCATAACTGCAAACTCTTACTAAAATTTTATTTCATCTAACAGAGTACATAGCCTCAGGGGAAAAAGGAAGCCAACCTAGATGAAACCTGTCAAAACAGATAACACATTTCCTGTTATTAAAAACCTGAAATACTACTATCCACTCACTGGCTAATTTGTGAAATGTTCTGTACAAAAGGTCTCCTCTTCATTAGTACCACATTAGGATTCTACTATGGATGCATTAAATATTAAGGCATAAAAATGAGGCATGATCAGTGAAGTTTGACTTCACTAGCCACTCTTTTCTCAACCCTTTGCATTCTGGCTTAACTCACCGCTATTTTATTGCAATTATTTTCTCAAAGGTTGCTAATAAAATCATTGCAAACCCAATAACCTTTATTCAGTCAAACATCCTCCTTGACCTCTTTATAGTGTTTGACACTGTTCATCACCCTTTCCATATGGATACTTTTTTCAATTAATTTGCAGTATGCCTCTCTTCCCCTTAAATCTCCCTAAAAGTTCCTCTTCCATGAAAGGCTTTTCCTCTTCTGAATTGTAAAGATGGCTGTTGGCCAAAAGTCTGTCCTTGGTTTCCTCATCTCCCCCTACAACTTCTTTTACATCTCCATTTGCAATCTCATTTGGTCCCACTGTTTCAATTGTCATCTCTATGTAAATGACACTGAAATCTACATCTTCAATCTTGATCTGGATCATACTTACATCTTCAACGTTTCATGGGAAATCTTTACCTGACTATCCCCCTAGCACTTCAAACTTAACAATCTGATAAGCTTTCCCCACTTTTCCCCTATTCTTCAGTCTGACTTCACTAATTTTAATTTGCATTGCCATTCTCCCAAGCTTTGCATATTCATAACCACCGTGCCATCTTTGAACTTTTCTTTTCCTTAATTAATGAACTAATCAAGATTTATTTGTTTAGACCTGTTATGTCTAGGCATTGTGCAAAATGCTAGAGACAAAAGCAAAACAGTGCCTTACATTCAAAGAGCTAACATTTTATGGGGCAGACAAACATGTACCTAGATGGGTATGTACTTTTAACTCAGAGGCTACCTTCTGTCTCTTCTCTACATATTTTGAATATTTACTTAAATTATAAAGACCGTATAGAAGGTATGATACCCAATGCAGCATATGCATCCCCTTCTCTTTTTCTGAGCTTGTTACCTTAACCTACACTTAACTTGGCTGGTCTGAGGAGGTTTCTGGGGAGATTGGGAATAACCCTGGTGTCAGGGAAATATACTCAGAATTATAACTCCTGAGCCTCTACCAGTGTGTTCCCTACTTACATAAATCAGTTCCATCACCATTAACATGAAACATTTAAATTTAATTTAAACATGAAGTATTGAATAAGAGAGAAAGCAAAAACAAAAATAATCATTACATGACATTAAATAGAAGGCAACATCAGGAATAAATTAAAAGATAAACCTGGAATGTTAGAAATAATCTAAAGATAAGCCCGCCCATAAACCTAGTTTACAATTTCTCACCAATCTACATGGTACCCATGAAGGAAAGTGGGCACATGCAAAATTTAGCAATGGGATGTATTAGGAGGGAAACTTATGTGCCTGCGGCAACTCAGAACTCTGGACTACAGGCCGGATATCAGGGATGCTTTTAAAAGAACTGTGTGTACCACGTACCACATGGTCCTTGTCAACGAAAAAAAAATTGATATTATCTGTACTCTCCATTTTAGGAACATGTCTGCCAGAAGCAACTTTTACTAACTTAACATGATTCTAAAATCTAAGCTTTTCTAGCTTGAAGAGAGATTTCCAAACTGCCATACTCCATCCTCCATCCCACCACGCCGATTTCTTTGGATACATTTTTCTACTCCAAGACATTTTGCAGTAACATTTATAGGAATCATGAGGCAGGAACAGGTTATAATATGTTAAAATATAGATTTGGATTGACATTCTAATAGTCACTAGTGGATCTCTTCCTTGACCATGGAAGAGCTTCCTTGTGGTGGTAAGTGTCTTAATCCTTGAATGAATCAGGTGGATCATGGTGTCGATCATTTCAGGTAGGCAAGGAAGAATGATATTATCTGGACAAGAGCTAAGTTTAGTTTCCACCATTTCCTGGAGTATTAGCTTTTGTCCTATCCACTTTCCTGAAGGGAAAAGTTTAGAAAGTGTGTCACGATGAAGCAAATACGTAATTCTAAATCATTTTAGAGAAATTAAAAATGAGACTTCCCCATCCTCTTCTGAAGAGCTTTCTGCTCTGCTTCTGAATGAAGTTACTTCTTTCCTGCTCCTGGGCTGTTGAAGTAGTTACGCTTTTCTAGCTTAAGCAGTCTTAAACCTGAGGTTTTGACCAGCTTCCCGTCTTCTCTTTTGATTAGGCACTGAGGCAATGTGACTCTCTTTTAGTGAAAAGCAGTTTCCATTAATTCTGGGATCTGCAAAGCTGTTCAGTTTTTTACAGGCTTGGGAATGGGATGGGGTGTATTTCCTTCTCTCAAGTCATAGTAAAGGATAATAAAGGAACTATTTTAGAGGCT